AAGATAGAAAAAAATTACTTCATTTATTCCAGACTATCTGAAAACTGTTCATGCAATAAGGAAAGAAACATACACAGTATATATACCTCTCAAATGAAGCAGCAAAAGTGAATCTGTCAGATGAGTCTACATGATATGAGGGTCTGAGGTCATGGCTCCCAAATCAGTAAACAGGTGACCTGACAGCAGGGGGCTTGTGCACTGCCCCTAGCCCAGCATTACAGATTAACCTGGATAACTTTTCTGTTGACACAGCCAGAGCATACAGCATGCAGTTCATGATAACTTTATGCTTTTATACCTGCAAGGGCAGAACAGGCTATACCTGACCTAATGCTTATCTGCATAATGTCAATATATGGTAACAGTATGTATAAAACAATGAGTATATGCTTGGTTTAGACCAAATTAATGCTTCTATGTCATGCTCACAAGAACTCCACAACAGTCTTAATCCAATGCCATGAGCCCTGAGTCAGGTGAATGTGCTGTTTGCACAGCCTGAGAGTCATGGAGCTCAGTGACTCCTGGCAAAATCCAAACTATGTGAATACCAGTAAGATTTTTAGGTTTGCACACTAGTCAGGACAACGAACGTGCTTCCAGTGCCCAAACTAGCTCTCTGTGCCATTAGTAGATGAGGTGGCTGCCGTAAAAATAAAAACTACGTTTTTCTCTCTTGAGCCCCATGAACTTACTGTTACATCATTCTCAGTCCTTAAATAAGTTAGATGACTGTGGAAACTGACTGCATGGCCTCAGCTTTACCTCTGGGTTTTTTTCTTACCAGAATGCAAGATGTGACATGTCATCATAACAACAGATTTTACTGCTGTTAACAGTAACGAGTAGCACAATAGGGTTGTTCCCTATGAATCTCTACTCTTAAAAATAAAGAAAACTGTTTAATTCACCTTGATAACCATTGTTATCTACATCAATGCCACTCGCTATGGATTGTCCAAACATGCTTAATGAATTACTGACTTGATGTCCTTGTATTCTCTGAGGAAAAAAAACAGAAGAGAAAATTATGCTTGGAAAGCTAATCTTTGAGTTATAATATCCAGTGAAAAATGTTAGCACAACCATCCTGCTGCAGAGGGCAGTTACATGCTTACCTGTGAAAGTATACCTCTGAAAGTGATATTCTTCAATGACTGCAAATGTTGTATCTCATAAACCCTGTCAAATTTAAAACTTCACTTTTTTTCTGGATCAATTATTTTACATTGAAAAAGCATACCTGTGAAAATGATGGCGTTATTCCATCTTCCCTGCCATTGTATATATAAATAGCCCCCTTTAGATCATCTTCTTGTGGAGCCCCAATTGCTACATCTGTGGAAAAACAATTTAATGATAAGCAGTTGGCTAGGAAACATGAACAAGGAAGAGTTAAAGAAATCCTGTAATAATGCATGCAATGCCAGACCACATTTATTTGACTGAATTCAAAAGAAGTGCTGAAGATAGATGCAAAGCAAATAGAAACATTATGGACCAGCTCAGTAATCTGACTGTGCCTTAAGTACTACGTTTCTGGAAAACAAGGGCCAAATACAGCTATTTTGTCCAAGACAAAGTCTGTTCCTACCAGTACTGAATTTTACCCTTAAGAGGTTATCATGGAGAATAGCCAAAATTATCATAGTCCTTAAAACAAACAAACAAAAGCCTTGTATTTATGGAATTATGATGATTTTCCTGCACTCTGCTATTCTTACATGGATTATATCACCGAAACACAAGAATTACTCTTACTACGCTGTCTGAAATGAACCATTTATTTTTTTATGAAGTGTCCTTAATGGCTGATAAGAGGCTTGAACAGACATTTAAAAAGGAAACGTAGGTAGCTGGTTTGTACAAAGGGATATGTTTTATGCTGAGATGCTTTAATGCCAGAATGGTGTGGTGACACATCAACAAACCAACCCACCCTCAAACGCCCTTACCAAAAAGCCCCATGGTTCCAATAGCCAGAGGTTGCAGAGATGGGGAGAAGGAGACAAATAACATCATCTTGAAAGTCACTAACAGAAATCAGTAATTGTGAGCTTTAATTCACAAATAAGAAAAACTGAACTACCTGCAAATCAGAAACACTGCATGCTGCACCAAACAAAAAATCACCAGAAAAGCAAAGCTCTGACAATTTGTTTTTTCTGAACAATTCTCTGATTGAATCCATACTAATTGGATCCATACTTTGGTAAGTAAATCACATAAAATATGTCTCTCTACTGGTGAGATGAAAATAGGGCAGCCAAGCTGTGCTAATTAAAGTTACACATATGTTCTTGAAGAGGTCAGATTCTACACCAACATGCACAACATTATCTTCACAGGACTGAATCTGATGGTTTAGATCATTGAAGATTTTGGCTCTGCTATGCTTTTTTATTACTTACTACAGACAAATGGTTTCTAACACCCAATTTCTCTTTATATTTTGCTTCCAAGCTATTTTTCTTAGAAAATTTCTTTTCCTATTGCCCTTCCCAATACTACTTCCAGTTTTTCTTTTCAGTGTTTTTTCTCCTTGCAAAAGCTAATCCACTTGTTTGCTGCAATCCCCCTGCAGTTTTAGGATACCCATTTTACATTAACATAGAATCACAGAGTGGTTTGGGCTGGAAGGGACCTTAAAGATCATCTAGTTCCAACCCCTAGACCACGTTGCTGAAAGCCTCATCCAGCCTGGCCTTGAAGACGGCCAGGGATGGGGCATCTGCAGCTTCTCTGGGCAGAGAGATATTCTGTGTCATACGTCTACTTTGCTAAGCTGCTATTGATTTGATTTTTCTTCTCTGCTCCCCCGCTCTACATTTGAACACAGTTTTCATTTGCAGTTCACAAATGTTCTTGGGCAAAACCTGAAACTTGTGTATAACATTGTGAAGGTAGCACAAACCAGGAGGAACGAAACTTGACAAGAGTTTGAGGAACATGTAGCAAAGGAGAGGGGTGGAAAACTAAGGAAAAGGAAACCAGATAAGAAGAGAATGACTTTTCCAAGCTTTTCAGGCTACGGAACAGGAGCAGGAACATAAGACAAAGGGAAGAGCGAAAGGAGAATGTTGGGTGGTAACTGAAAATAAAATGGGTAATTTGGAAGCATGCAGACAGACACGGACTTGGTAAAGATACAACCCAGAAAAAGTTGTCAGTTTTTCCACAAAGGTTATTAGCTCCTGCATACAGTCCAAGTTTTGATGATGGAAAAACTGAAACCGTTTTTGAATTTCTGAACAGTAGAAAATGCCTGTCATATTTTTATCCTGTCCCAACACTGTCTATCATGTCTATTGTTTATTATGAGAGTTTGCTGCTCAAAGAATTAAACCCAGAGAGTTTTCTTTATACACTTACCTTCAAAACCGTCATTATCAATGTCCCCTAGATTGGCTATCGACTCTCCAAACCTGGCTGCATATGAGTCACTCCCACTGAGCTCTATGTTCAGTTCCACCATCTTTGCCTCCTGAAGGAAAGCAGAGTCAATGGCACATTAACAAAGCATCTGCTAGGTGACCTGGAATATTAATAAAAATGTTAAAACTGCCTCAGACACCAATATATAATCCTACTGAACTCCTTGGTGTAGAAGCAAACATTATCAAAGATGTTTAACAGTATTTAGTGTAAGAATAATAAAGAACAAGAGAGTTGTTCTTTAAGAAAGCAAATAGCAATGTATTCCCATAGCAAACACCTGTAAACAGCAGTAGGTTTATATCAGAATACATTGGCTTACTGATCTGAGAAAACTGTTTGCTAATAAGGCAGTAAATAATAGCTGCCTCAAAGTTATTGTGTGTGCCTTAGTTAGTTGTAGGTATGCTGGAGTGACTTAGTTCTCTGTGAGGAAAACATGTTAAGAAAATGTTAATCACAGGCATAAGAGAATAGGTATTCGTGTGGAAACAAGGAAAGGGAAATAAGAGACTAAGATAAAATTTACAAAGCTAGACAAATTCGAAAGCACACAAAAACCAGTGATTATACTTTCACTTCTGATCCTTAAAAATAAACAGAAGCTAATTCTGATGCATGATCTGTCCAGCTACTTTATTTGCCAAACTAAGGACTACCAGTCTCTTTCCTGACTTGTTCGTACCACTAACCGCACTCAAAGTGTTCATTCCTCGTTTGTTTCTGAACTGCTAAACAAGTTACTCTTCGCATGCCAGTTCAGGGCTAAGCATGCTAAGGGAGGACAGCTTGCAAAGAGGCAGCAGTGGCAGGCTGTCACCACCTGAAGGTACTGTGAAACAAAACCAGTCTGTCTTCAGTTCTCACACTAGCCTAAGTACCACGGTATTATAGCTCATACAGCTGGCCCTTGCAGCTGTGCTACAGTTTCCTGCTGGGATTGGCATCACGGCTCGAGAGTTGGTTTTCCTATACCCTGAAATAATATACGATGAGAGATGAAATTTCTTCTTCATTTGTTATACTAGAGTGACTATGTTACCATGTGTTTTTAAGAGAAAATACTTACAGAACCTGAATTGATATAGACATAAACTCTTCCTTCTTCTCTGATGGTACTTTGCATGGGAGCACCAACTAGCAAGTCCGAGAGGCCATCTGAATTCAGGTCCACAGCACAAACTGAAGCTCCAAAGTAAGAACCAAGCTGTGTGCAGACAAGAAATCGTGTTATTTTTGAATTTTGATGAAGACATGTGTCATGGTTTAACCCCAGCTGGCAACTAAGCACCACACAGCCACTTGCTCCCTTCCCCACAGTGAGATGGGGACAGAATCAGAGGAGTAAAGTGAGAAAACTCATGGGTTGAGATAAGAACAGTTTACTAACTGAAATAAAATAATAATAAATAAAAGTAATAAAAAGGAAAATAACAAAGAAAGAGAAATAAAACCCAAGAAAGACAAGAAATGCAAATGGAAAAAACCCAATTGCTCACCACCAACTGACTGATACCCAGCCTGTCCCCAAGCAGCAGCCCCACAGTGAGCTTTCCCTCTAGCTTATATGCTGAGCATGAGGTCATATGGCCTGGAATATCCCTTTGGTCAGCTGGGGTCAGCTGTCCCAGCTGTGTTTCCCCCCAGCTTCTTGTGCCCCACCCTACCCCCCTGCTCGCTGTCAGAGCAGTATGAGAAGCTGGAAAGTCCTTGATTTAGGAGAACACTACTCATCAACAACTGAAACCTAAGCGTGTTATCAATATTATTCTTATCCTAAATCCAAAACACAGCACTATGCCAGCTACTAGAAAGAAAATTAACTCTATTCCAGCCAAAACCAGGACAACATGTCAGAAGTTCTAAGGTGCAGAAAAGTTGTATGAATGATTTACCTTTTTACCCCTTAGTTCAAATAGAATGTTTAGTTGCTTCTCAATGCTAAAAATGTATGCCTGAAACAAAAAGAAAATATAAGTGGAGTTCAGCAAGCAGTAATTTCAAATACTTTCCTGTGCTTTCTCTACAGCATGTGCTACAGAACAGCAAAGCAACACACAATATCACACGGTACAGCTATTTACTATTTCCTATCTGTACCTTTCTTTAGCACCATAGTTCACAGCAGTGTTACCTAGACTATCTTCCCTCATTCCTCTGACTTGTGAAATTGACTTCTTTGACGTGAGAAATCACATCTATCTGATACTTGTCTATAATACCCCTGATTTTCCAATTGAGATTAATGTGAGTATGTGGGGGTCTATTCTTTAAACCAGTAGTATAGAAAATCTCTTACTTTACCAGTCTGCTCCTGCTGGGGAGCCCCTCCAATCACTTCTGTACTGGCTGATGTCAGAAAATGCCCAGCTCCAACAGAGTATCCTGTAAATTAGAAATGCACTATTCAATACTGGAAACGCTATATAAAGAACAACAAAAAAAAGGGATCATGATGTATAAAAGCTGTCAACAGCAGACATTACTGTGAGTCTGACATACAGACCTCATGCAAGCTAGTAATGAAAACAGAAAATAAAGTTCCTGAAATAAGGAAAACTTCAATAGAAACATAAGTTCCAACAAACAGAAGCAAGTGTCATTTCTCCCCAGGATCTTAATTATCTGCCATACTTTAAAAGCAATACAATTAAATTGCAAACACTTTCTATTAACGCATATTCTGCAATTGTTCAGTGACTTCATTTTGTAACACATATAAAACCCACCAAAAGGCCACACAGTGCAATGTGGAAACACTCGATTCAATTGTTATTCTTTGACTATCGTACCTGGACCACAGAAAAATGAAATGTGGTGCCACTTGCATGCATGTGCACGTATATACATACACACACACACACACACACAGAGCCCTGTGGATACACACATGAAAGTGTCAGGAACACACTGGAGCAAAAGCTTCATTATGTAATACGAAAACATCGCACTGGCTTTCGTAAATGAATCTACACAACAAAATAGATAGTGGAGACAGCACTTAAACAGGATCATCTTTTGGTGCAGATGTCCAACCACAGAATTGCAAACTGAAGGCTAACGCCTTCGTCTGTAACTACACAAGTCATCGTTATTCTTTCCAAAATACATTATGGCTAAGCTGAAACAAGGAAGGCAGTTAACATATTCTGCTACTCTTGCATTTACTGAATGACTGATGATTTTCACAGCACACAGAGAAAATGGGAACATCATCTTGGATCAGATGAGAACAACTGTTGAATCTTTCCTCTGTGATAACAACTGTCTAGAATTCCAGTTCTTACTAAGCCAGCTTTTTCTTTTCATATTTGAAAGCTTCACATTTGAAGCTAAAAGAGGTGAACAAGGCAATCTATCATTTAAAGGTCAACACCTAATTTTTACTTATTCAACAACAAAATTAAGCTTAAGTGAATGAACCTTAATTTACCTCCTCTGAGGTAAATTTTCTTATTTTCTAGTTATTTTGGTTTTGCTGAGGTGCAAACATTGGTAATTCTAATGAACTTTAAAAAAAAATAAGAAACAACAACCACAAAGAAAACCCATAACCAAAACAACAATAAAAAAACCCCAAAGCCAAACACAGACACAAAAGTATAGTAATCAGGTAGTCCTCGTTTTTATTGTGATATTAAAATGTTTGGTGGGGAGGAGATGGGGAAGGAGTGGGAAGAAATAAGAAAAAAAAAATCACGTAAGTGACCCTTTAAATTTAAAGGTACAATCAGATGAAATTTTATTTCCAACCCCCAAATTCTATCCTCTTTACCATTACTACAGTTTTTTAGTTTTCTAAAATCTAATTTCTGTTCTCAAATTCCCCAAAAAAACTATCCGTTACTTTGTGATTTCTTTAAGGCAGTCTGTAGGTGCCTAAGGTTACTCTTTCATCAGGCCCACTCTTTCATCAGGCCCAGCTGATTTGAAACACTGATTACTTATCTAACTCCTTTTAAAGAAGTCAGCTATTAATGTCCAATAGACATGGAAATAGTCAGGGAAATACTACCAAAAGTTATGTATTACCAGCTTCTCTTTCCACCATCCTTCTTTCTTTTAAAAGTAGGGTAAACAGCTTTGTTTCTTAAAACTTATGGAAAAATGTTGCAATACTTTTGCACGCTCTTTCTGCGATCTCTAATTTGTTACTTATTACTATTTGACAGTTTAGTGAAAATGTAAATAAAGAAGCCAACTTCTCAGTCCTTGCCAGAACGGTAGCGTAAGTAGGTAATTATATCTAGTTATGTGCTTGACTCCAGTCACACACTTGGTAAGGACATTTTTGTTCATTATTTAAAGGAGAAGCAAACTCAGGCTTCAAAAAAACCCACAACCCTGACCACTTTGGTAACAGAGTTAACCCTAAATAGATTTCAGCCTCAAACAATGCCAATGATGGGACAGCCATGGAGAGAGGGGAAGGAAGGTACCCTTATGTTCTTTCAACCAATTATGTATTAGAATGAGGGAATGAAGTGGAGGTGTAAGTAGCATGGAATAGTACAAAATGTAAGGTTTGTCACAGCGGCTACTGTACACACACACAGATGAGCTCATTTTTTCTGCTGTTACCAGAAGGCAGGAGCGAGTGTTCTCTGAAATTTGTCATTTGTCCTATGAAAGGTTAGAGATGTTAACCATAGTGGTCTGGGTATCTGATCGCCATTTACCATCCAGCATCTCTTCTGCTTGACTTCCCTGCAGAGCCCAACTGCAGCCTTTGCAAGGCTCAGTACTGATTCTGAAGCATTAGACACTTTGTGTTTCCCAATAGTGATTTTGTAATTTATGCCTGCTTCCTATTGTCAAGAGTGACATCAGAAACAGGAAATGTTTATCCACATGAATCAGATCTGAGTGGGAAAGCCAATGGTCACAGGCAAAAAATACTCTTGCTCAGGAGTTCAGGAAGGACACCCAAGCTTTTCTTAGTGTGTAGTGAGAAAGCTGAAGCTACTGATGGTTCTTAGCATAAACCCCTACAAATTCTAGCACTAAATTCAGCTGATTACTTAGATACAGGTAAGTGAGTAGGAGCTTCACGGCTTTCTTTGCAGACATTTGTGATAAGGTTTGCCTTCCCATGTATCCAGAGCAAGATATGGTTGGAATTAGAAAAAAACCAAACAAACCATACTTCCCCTTATTGATAATGCAATTAAGACTTGTTTCCTTGTAACTTTCACTGTAACAAACTTTTCATATTTGTTATATGTGAAATCATTATGTCTTCTGCTATGAAAGCCCTTGGCAGCATTTCAGATGTAACAGTGAAGTGCAAACCACTGCTAATCAGAAGCATATCTCTACCTTCTAAATCGAGAAATGACAGAAATTCAGTGGAGAAACAATAAAACCAGAAATCCAATGTTTGAGAAGCTTCCACATAAAAAGAACAGAGAGGAAGACTTAAATAATATTTAGCAAAAAAGAGAACACATCTTTAGAACCATTGCTTCTGGAATTAATAAAGAAAAGACGGGTAAACACTGCGCTCTCACTTCAAGATCAGCTATCTAGCTAATTATTTGATTTATATTTTTGTAAAGTAAAATTATTTTTAGTTACCTAGATAACTGCCAAATTTCACTTGGTTATTTGAATCCGTATAAGCATGGATTGTATTTGCAGTTGTGTTGTATACAAAAACAGAACCAGTCCAATAATATGATCCAGGGGCTCCCATTATAATTAAGTCCTGAAAGAAAAATAAAACAAAGCCTTGTTATTCATATTTAAACATTCATGAAGGTAAGAAAAACACATCAGACTATTCTTCAGATCTCCTGTGAAGTCAATGAAATGCTACTGGAGACGCACCTGGCTCAGTGTTGGGGGATTACCACTAGATCACAGACAACATTTTTCAGACTTTCTAAAAATATTAAAGACCTTGAGTTGTGAAGAACCTGAGAGCAACAAACAGAATATTTTCTTCTTAAAAGATTTTTTTAGAAATCATAACCTTAGGGTGAAATGGAGATTAAACACTACAGAACATTACTCTGTAAAGCAAGAAGGTAAAGGTTATTAGTGTTAACGTTGTGCCAAACAGATTAAAGAGAATAATAAAGCTTCATACTCTGTGTTGTATTCATGCTCATTTTCCAGGTGAAAAGTAATTTTGGATTCAGTAAAGTGTAAAAGTATTCGTGGGAATAAAAAGTAAAAGTATTAGTTGGGAATTACCATGCAAGTATTATCAAGATCCAATTAAAAAGAAATGAGTGAAGTCCGATTTTTCTCTGCCACAAAAAGGACAGTGTTAATATTCGCATTTATATATAAGTAAAAAATATATATGTACATATACGCAAGTATATATATATATAAAAAGAAGTTTGGTATCTTTAATACACACCTCAATGTAAAAACTAGACATTCCAGCCTGGCATGACCCATGGTTTTCTCCAAACTTTCGTACATGATCTGGGAATGGGCAAGAAATATTAAAAAGGATGAGAACATGTAGTTTCTGATTTTTCCTAACAGGTCTTCAACAGAAGTTGAGGCAAGTTCAAAACAAAACAACATTGGGTTTTGATTCTGTAATAAAACTAAACCCACTGGTTTTCACTGTATAGCCTTTAGCTTCAATATAATGTTGAAACAAACTCAAAGCACTACGTACCACTTGATCACAGCTGCCGTGAAATCTTGTGACTTTAAAGACTACACTTTTCTTTTTAAATTGTTCCACGAAAATAATGTGCCAAATGAAACAGCCCGAATAGTCTGAGCAGCACAGATGGGTAAGATTAATTCTTCTCTTCCACTCTGTGTGGCATAATCTGACTGACAGGCATCCTGCTTACCTATATAGCATGGGCATATTCTTCTGCTCAGTTCAGTTCGAAAATCAGAAGAGATGGCAAAACAAATACCGTATGGGAGTTTGTGTTCATTTCTTATGTAAAAGATATTTTTCCATCTGTGTCCACAAGCCTATGGATAAAAACAAACACAAAGTTTGACACAGAAGCATAAGAAAGGTAAAGGCCATCTGACAAACAGACACGCAGCTCCAGCGGTTCATACATACAACAATAGATCCATTTTCTTTTGGCTGCCTCGATAAGCTTGCTCTTCCAAACAAGTCTTCCCACAGTGCTCTCCTTTGGGGTTGCCTAGGACACAAAGACCAATGCACTGAACAAGGGGACAAGCTGAAGGGCCATGTGGCGAGTAACAGGAGCACCCAAGAACCCTACAGGGAGACTGCAGTAATTTGGATTTGGTGGACCTGACCTCTGTCCCCGTCTTACATAGGCCACGTAGGCTTTGCACTTTCTTCTTGAACAAAGGTACGATTGCACGTAGCCAAAGGGAGCATACTGGTTCTGGACATGACAGGTTGGCAGTGAGGACTGGCTTCTCCACTGCTACTGAAATTAAGATGGGAAGTGACATTACACTCAACCTGATGAAGGACTGGCTTTGCAAGTGCTCTTCAAGCCTAAAATTTAATAAGAAACACAAGTAATGGCCCTGAGTACTACCTAAACTCTAGCATAAAGCAAGCACCTCTCCAACTACATACTGATTGGTAGCAGACCTTAAAACGATCTCTATTGCACATGGCTATCAAATAAAGGGTGTATAACTACAGTCACTACTGGGGATGTCAGTCATTAAGCAAGCATATCCTATGTACTCCCCTTGCATTGCTGCAATTTAGCAGTATCTCTTTGGTTTTCTTCTTACGGAGAGTTAATTTTCCCTAGAGAACATAGTGAAAATTATTCTAACTACCCCAAAAGGCTACAGTATTGCCAAGTTAGCAAATATTTGCTTCCTTCTGTGAAGCAGTATTGGTACCTATGGTGAGGAGAAGCTACATATTTAAAAGTATTCCAGGTTATATAAAGCAAGCTTTTCATTTGTAAGGTGTTTGTATGAATAAGCATTAACCAAACTATTGAATTGCTATTTTCCATGCATCAGAATAACACTGTTCATGAAAAAACTTCTTATAAAATAAGGAAACACACCATATCATTTCAACAAGCTGTTTTGGTAAGCCCAAAACTTTGGAGGTTCAAGGGGTTTAGTTATGCAGGAGAGGGTGCCATTACAGATCACAGAGTACCAATGCTGACTGGGACGTTGTCTGAGAGGAAAATGCATAAATCAACACCACCAAAAGTGTGCTCATACCAGAGCTGAAATGTATTACTTCCAATGCATTAGAGTGTTTAAAACAATGCACTCCTAATTCAGTGGACTTGCTGAATTCCTTTTACAGAACACACAACTGCATAATATGGATCAAATATGGAATCAGAATAAAGGGGTGCACCTAGACTGTTTAGTAGTCAGGAGAAAGATGACTGACTGTGGGCTTTGCTACATACATTCTGACAACCAACACTGACTTAAATGACCTTACACCTGGGATGTCATGGACTTTCTGAGAGAGAATACCAGGTTAATGGAATCAAGATAATTCTTTATCACATAGTAAAAAAGCATGCGAAGAAACATTTGTTGGAATAAACATCAGCCACCATCCTTATTTCAGAGCTGGTGCCCTACTGCTTTGTGACCGGCCTAGCAATTGGCATTGATCTGAAGAAACTGCTGGAGCCTTGATTCCTTCTACTTCCATACTACCTCTCCACTACATATTCCAAACATCATACTTTCTCCCTGCTCCGATGGAACGACCAGAGTAGTGCAGTCAGGAACCCCTCACCATTCGGCAGAGAGGACTACACACCCTGTGCACCACAATCTACTCCACCTTCTTCCAAAAATAACATCCTTCACAGGGCTGAGAGGTATCTGGCCCTCCTTCATCTCTTCTTTACCACTTCCTCCCATATGTGACTTTCCCTAAGCCATCAAGGAAATAGTATGCAAAATACAAGTAAACAGGAACCGACCTTAGTACTCACAATAACATCACACTCAATTGTCTCTGGGCCAAGAGATTTTATGTTACTGTAGTTTAATAATTCCTGTAGGACACCTGAGGAATGGTAATTAGCAACATGTGAGCTCTTACTCCAAGAGAAACACAAAGTAAAATGCCGTACTTTAAAAATCTACTAAAGAGAAGTTGATTTTTCTGCAGGTTGTCAGTTACTGAGGTTTAAGTGATAAGCTTCTGAATTCTCCTACCTGGCTAGTGTCAGTGACATGAACCTCCATATACTGAATATATACTAGGTTCAGACGGAATTTGGAATTTAGTTTTGGAATTTAATTTTGGAGTTATGTCACGTAGAACTCCTCGCTTCCTAAGGAAGACATCTCCATGGTTTGAATGAATTACAGAGAATGTTAATCTGATTGAAATCTCCCCACAAAACAAAATTCCATTACACTACCACATGTAAGAATTAATACTCCTTTAAATCACAAAAGGCACTTCTGGTAACTCCCTTCTAGCAATGCTTTCTGACCTCTTATGACAATGACTTACCTGTGACTTGCTTCATAGTGTATGTGGATTTGCAGGAAATGGAAGAAGTGGAGAAAACCAGTATCATAAACTTAGATCTTGAGAGGCTTTCTGAGACTTTCTATCAGTAAGTCAAACAAGATCAGATAATGATGTTGTGAGAGAGAGAAGGAAGTTTTGCTCGTCTCAGTGCTTCATTCCTGTGCCTATTTCAGAGGTCCGTAACAACAAAACCCACACCATTCCATCATGATCGTTATATTATATTCTCCTTTTCCTTGGCTCCAGCATATTATCCTGATTCAGGTTCACTTTGGCCCTCTGCTGACCTGCTGTCTTATGTCTCCTTTCTTTCTCTGACTGGCAAGTATTCAACCACCTTGAAAATGACAGGCCTTTGCGGATGAGAGACGCATGAGCTTGACATCCCAGACACCATGACGAGCCCCTGCTCAGGGTATGACATTATAAAAGCTTTATGAAACGAGAAGAGAAAATGCTGTATCCTGCACAAGCAACACAGCCGCATTGCATAAGCTCAAGAGGACATGGCAGCTTGGTTGCCTCAGGGAAAAGGAGCACGCACTGTCATAAAGTCACCAAGAGATAAGTAATTGCCCAGCCTGTGTACATTACACAGCTGGAAGACACACGTCTGCTAAAATCCCTGCTGCATGCATCCACAGAAACAGCACAGTCGCATATAAATAAGGTCACAACTTACAAAACCACTTCAAGCTTTGGCCTCAAGGACTCTAATACAAATATTCACAATGTCATTTGAGAAACCAGTTTTATATAACTTACTCTAGTGCTTTCCATGCCCAACAGCATCCCATGATCCTTTTTATCCTCCCAGAACTCCTCAGGTCCTGTCACTAATTGATTAAAACTATGAAGTCTACTGACACCCTGCTCCTAGATGTCAGGGCCTCATCAGACTCTTTTTTCATTTGTCCAGGGCAATCTTTTTTCAGGGATTTGATAGGTCTTATCCCTCTTACATCCTGCAAACCACCTCTACCCAAAACATTCTAGTTAGGTGCCAGCTGTTTCTACAACTCTGTAACAGACCTGGGTCCAGAAGGTCCTGTCTTCTTTGGAACAGTATGGCTGTTTCAAAGGAGATCACTAGCAGGTGTGATCAATGCAAGTGAGATTAAAAAGCCGAAGCACCAAAGGCAGAACTTACTGAAATCAAAGCTGAACAAACACAGGTCAACCTTTGGGGAAAGCCATTAACTGTTCACTTTTTCCATTGTAATGATTCAGTTGGGGGAGCTAGAGGGCAATTTGTTCATAGGTTAATTGCAGTAGGGTCTTAAACAGAAGGGTGGAAACATGAAACTGTGGGCAGAGCTTTCTGGCCTTATGTTAAACAACACGCACGAAATTTATTGTGTACATTCATCGTTAACTTCTTTTCTTCAGACTGGATGGCAAGTCTTACACATTGTTTCCTGTATGTTTTGACAATGAGTCACTGTTTCAAATCTGAGAGCAATTTTGTTGAAGAATTCCTGTCCAAAATGTAATACATCAAAACACCTAAAGAACTTTGTGCAAGTCCATCTGCAATAATGTATGAGTACCCCAAACTGATGTGGGCAAGGTCTTGAAATTCAAAAAACTAAAAGAGTGGTAGAAGATGGACACTTAGTGCTCCAAATAATAAACCTGAAGCTTTGTATTTTGTATTTGTGTCTAGAGATTGATTACAAGCCTCTGCATCTAACACGTCATTAATAAAAATACTCTAGATACAAACAAATCAGCAGTCTATTTTTGACATCATTGACAGAAGTACTAGTACTAGAAAACAAAATTGCAAAGAATTACTCCTCTATTCAACAATCAGAGAGAGATTTAAAAATGCCAGCGAGGGGCTGGGAAGACAAATATTTGCTAGTGTATCTCATGGCAGTGCATCTCATGGCTCGTCTCAGCTCTTAAGCCAGCCCAGGCCCCTGTAACAGTTTGAACAACATTAAAATTCTCGAAAGTATGCCTGGATGAGTTATTTCCAGATGCTGGGATGACTGCAACACAGGACTGTTCCCAGCAACTCTTTCTCTACTGAGGAAGCAGATAGGAATGTGTGACATAAAAAATACAACAGCAGTTTTGTGTGATCAGAGGCTTCCTAATTGCACTTGAATCCTTCATTAATTAGTTATGCCAGTTTCAAGGCTACTTTAGTGAAAAATAGCAACAAAGTGTTTTAACATATTTATGTCTCTAAGTAATTCACATCCATTTATTAGAGAGGCCCAACATTTGGAAATACCCACTTCTATTGCCTGCTGTCACCTCTACATTTCTATGACTCATAATTAGAAACTTATTACCTCAAAGATTCTTTTACTGAAAGACATGTGAACTCAAATATTTAATAAAAATCTAGAATTAGCTATTTCTCAATTTGCTTTTCCCAGAAATAATATATATCCCTGCATATTTTTCAAAGGAAATTACCCTATATTACAAAATCTGAACCCAAACTTTTTGCTGGCAAGAAACCAAGCAGAAGAATGAGGAGGTCAATGACTGAAAGACACAGCTTTGATAAAACCATTATGTGCAAAAGTTGCTGACAGCCTGAATGAGTTAGACAAGAGATAATTAAGTTCAGCTTTGCAATTGCAAGTTCCCTTGTGTATTTCTGTGACCGCTCAGCAGGATGGCAAAGGCTTAACAAACCTCAGATACTATCCTACTTCATTTACATCCCATGCACCACAGCCGCCTTTGGCTTCTTCATTGACCTGTTTTACAATAGAAGACTTCTTTTCGGTATCTATTTAACTTCAGAAATAATGTAGACGTACCTTAGCAATGTAAAGGTGTTATCTAGCACTAAGGGAAACAAACATTTTGCAAAAGTCTCTTGTGGTATCACTGTTTTTAAAAGTGTGGACAAGACAGTAAATATCATGTGCCCTGCAGCCTCTAAACCCAGGAACAGAAGCGGTGTTAAATTAAGCCTTTGGAACCACATAAACATTTTCAGTCACCTGCTGCATCATTTCGTTTAGAATCCCCCAAGCTACTGAGGAAAAGCCCACCAAGTTACTTCGCTAGAGCTTTTGTTTCTGTACTGGCTAAATGAATAATTTGAGAAGTACTGCAGATGTATGTAATTTTCAAAGAACCCGAAACTTTCGACCCTTCCCCCATGCTGTGAAGGACTATTTTTACCCTCACTTCAGGGGCAGGAGTTTATTGCTTCTTAGCATATGCTATTTCACCACTTCAGCTGACTTTTTTGACTTTCGCGAGCCTCCTCTTACAAAGAAGCAGTTGGAGAAAAGAGTTCTGTGTTATATATAATTTTTCAGTAGATCTAATATTGGAAAGAAATTACTTAAAGAAAAATAAAAAAGAACTACTTGGGCTGGAATACATTTAATTGCAGTTCTTTCCACGGGCAACTGCTTGTCTTCCCTTATGCGGCTACAAGTAAAGCACCACTGAAGTATCTTAGGTTTTTGTAGCTCAGTTACAAAAAATAACTCTGTCCATAGGATAAAAGTGGATAGAACCCATCAGTTCTAAGCTTTTTGAAACAATTGGTTTAACATTTTTGTCAGAATGCCGCATTCTGCCCTGAAAGCCCACCAGTTCATGGCACGCTATCGCTTTCATTGGTTTCAAATATTTTGAAAACCCCTTCCCGCGCTTCTTATCCTCACTGGGCGGCAAGTTCATAGTTTTAACGGATCGGATGGTCTCGGTCACAGCTGGATGGAAAGTTCAGGAAGGTTTCTAAGCATAGGGATTGAGTGAATGGCACCGCATGCAGGCACGACAGGAACAGAGCCCAAAGTAATTCACATATATTCACGATAAACCATTGCAGAGTCTTCTCCTTTTAAACAAGTATCAAACAGTTGGAAGTTGGGTAAGTGTATCCAGTTACATCTCCCTAGCTTCGGGCCTGGGGAGGTAGAGAGCAGCTAGATTAAACGCAGAAACTGGAAAAACTGATTCAGTCATAAATAGCTTTGTTCTCCTGAAACTCAATTTTTCAACCCATCTGCAAGACGACTGTGGTTCAGTTACTTTAGGGTGGCTTCTACAAAGGGAAGGCTTTGCAGAAGAAAAGACGATGTAGGCACATACTTCCACCCCCATCTCTAAGCTAATTAATTACGTTCACCCTCGCACTAGCTTTCTGCTGAGAACGACGAGAGACAGACCGAAACTCTCACGAGGGTTTTGAACTGGGCGCTGAAAGGTACGAAGGAAAACTGTGGAAACGGGAGCTGTGGCACGCCACTTTCTCTACACCAAGTTTTGTCCCGTTTCTTTCTGTCCACAGAAGAAAAGGTGCCACCGTTGCTGCTCTTGGGCAACAGCGTCGGTCTCGCAGTTCAGCGAGACGTAAACGCCCGTTTAACCCGGAGAGGAGCCGGGAGAAGCCGCCCGCAGCCCACCGCCTTGAAGGCAGCGGCTGGGGAGCCGCGGTGCGCGCAG